AAGGAAGCTCGCAAGTCGGGGCGTCGCAGAACTCCTGGACCACTCGTATTCAAGCGACTGGGTGAGATAGGGGATATCCGAAATGCAATTGCGTCTCTGGAGTTTCTTTGTGTCAAGGGCGACGATGATGCCGACTGGGGCTCTAAAGTTGCTCTTACGAAGCCGAAAAGGGGATCGAAGGACTTGCCGGCACTCACCAGAGGCGAGCATGATAGCCTCCAATTAATCTCACAACGAGAAGCCACCCTCGGGATATTCCACGCTGTCGGGAAGGTGGTGTACAACAAGCGTGGGGAGCGGACAGCTCCGGTGGGATCTGCCGAAGCAGCAGCAGAAACGCTGCCTGACTACATGGCGCACCTGTCCAGGCCCAAGCAGTCTGAGGTCTGTGTGGATAGCCTCATTGACGAGACCGGGACCGACACACACACCTTCATCTCTGCATTGCACGAGAACTTTGCGCTCTCATGCGAGCAAAGTAGCCCTTTTGGTGAGAGTTCCTCGCTCGACTACCTTAATGGCTGTCTGGACTATCTCTCAGAAAGCGACCTCCTATGTCCCTCGTGGGATATCTTCTTTGGCGGTAAGGGGTATTCCGGCGGATACATGGGTAAGGACTCAGGCAGCCACATCCTGCGGCAGGACGAAATGGCATTTCAGGTTGCCGTCCGTGGATTGCTTTTCTCGCTCCCGTCGCCCGTGAGACGGCAGACGCACCCTACGGGCCGTGGTGGCGACTCATTCAAGATGTTTTACCCGGCATATCTTAAACTCTGGAGGGCCAAGGAAGAACTCGAAAGCCTCGTCGACATGTGGGCCACCAAGATGTTAAGGGGCGAAGACGGCGGCCGAGGCCCGCCGCAGAGTGCAGCAACGACACGCACCAATGGAGCTTCTGCTTTTATGAAGAAAGAGAGCACCGGCGTACGGGATTGGGCCAGTAATAACTTCAAATCGTCCAACCACCTTCCTCTCAGCAGTGAAGCTGCCACATTAGATTCTTCACGAGACCCTGCTGCCCCCCCGCCTCTCCTATCTCTTGGCACTGCAGCGCGACAGGAGTTTCTGCTGGAACGGCTCCCTTACATGGCGCATATTGCACGTCGGCGACGATGCTCGTTCGGCACCATGAGGATAAAGGATATTGACAAGGTCGTGTCGTTTCAAGGCATTGGTCCGGCCAAGGATTTGGATGATGATCAGGATGATGATAATGGGAATGCCCCAGCGGGTGAAGCGTGGGCAACTGACAAACCCACGGATGATTTGAGTCCACGAAAGAAGCGGCGACATGGCCTAGGTACTATTTTGAGCAAGTCATTGGGGAATAAGGGTGAAGAAGAGGAAGCGCCGGGCAGTCTGCTGCCGATTCAGAGCCTGGTGCTCAGCGATGATGATATTGAGGATTTTTAATCGGCTAACCGGCGTAAGGAACGAAGAGAAGGGCTGTTCACAGATAAATAAAACTTAGATCTTTATTGTAATTATAAAATTGTGTATACTTGGCAATTGAACTTCGAACAAACTCGGTGCCGAGTTGGGAAATGAGTGTTACTGAAGTGCAGGAAGAAAATAAGGTACTGTGCATCTATCGCTCACCATAAGAGAATAATATGTAATAGAAATATCGTGGTATAACTGTAATATTACATCTTGTTATGATTCTGTAAAGTGCCATAATTGCTTTGGTGCTCTCTCCATCATTGATAAGATAACGCTGATAAGATTGCGCGCTCTGTGCACTGGCCGTCAAGTTGAGCGGGCGGCTATCTGCCAAATTTCCAGGCTCTTTCTGCCGGAGTAGGCCCGCCCAGACCGAACTCATTTCCTGCCTTTTACCGGATGTGACCGTGGGTTGGCCTAAAATACTCCATTCTTCAATCTTTGGAAAAAACCAATCTGGAAACATCCAGAATTCGAATCATCTTTTTGGCACTTTTTAGGATTGAGAGATTATACTTTTTGGCGAGCAGGAGAATTGAGTGATGGGCATTGGGATTGTGTATTTCATTTTTTGGGCCGCGTACGTGGAGAATTGGAGGAAGGCTGCGTGATTGGGTACTTTTGGCAGGAAAGCGCTTGAAGAGCGTGTGAAGGAGGCTTCTGGTAGAATAGAAGCAGAGAATATTTACTTTTCCCATCCTCTTATTTCTATTCGCTTTTGGAGGCGTTGGATAGGTTGAGAGGTGATGCCTGGGTTGATCTAGCCTAGGGAGCTTTACTCTTAACGATTGGAAATGCACCACCCTTCGCGAATGATGGGAGACAGAGAGGTCTTGGAGACAGACGGCCATGCGATATCATCGTCCTGTTGACCAACAAAAAGGTCTTTTTCACCAATTGATGCTTCAACACTGTATTTCTTCTGTTGGCTTGCACAAGCCTTCTAGACGTTATTTCCAATTTCCAATTGATGAGATGCAATTCCCAAAATACTAACCTTGAGGCATATTCAGTTACACCTCACATCATCATTTATTCTTCAAACTTTTTAACTTCATCAGCTTTCAAGCCCATCCATCCATAGGGTACGCACTCCAAGTGCCCTTATGCCATGTTCAGCGGCCCCCAGGTCCGGTTTACCACAAGCTCCCAGCTTTGCTGCAGCATAGCGGCCCCTTCCGCGGGGGCGGGGTCGGGTACTGGACACCGAGCTCCAGCTTGGGACCTCGGCTCTTTTGGCTGGCTTTGGCAGTCGGCTCGGTCGGACACTCATACCATCCCTGGGACTGCGTCTCGGCCGTGTCACGTCTTGCATCGGAGGGAAAGAGATGGAATTGTGCACTTCTTCAACAAGAGGTGCGTTGTCATTCGGCGTCAAGACGATATTTTTCATTGGTTAGCGAAACTAGCGGTGGCGGTACACCCAATCCTGGGCCCAGCAGAGTAAACACCAAAACATCAAAGCATAAGCAAGGTCTTGGAACGCAGCTGGAATCGAACGAGAGTCGAATTCTCCCCCCCAAACCAGGCGACGACACCTCAAAATCGGCACCATGGCTGGACGGGTGAGGCAGCCCATCAACGTCAGGGCGCTGGAGGATTGGATTGCGAGGACGGTGCCCGAGATTGAGGTGCCGCTGGACGTCAAGCAGGTAGGCATTTTACATGATCATATACAGCGACATCCACATGGCCAAGATGGCCGCCACACCGGCTCCGTCACTGACCACCCGCAGTTTGGATTCGGCCAGTCCAACCCGACGTACCAGCTGACGTCGCCCTCGGGCCGGCGCTATGTTCTGCGCAAGAAACCGCCCGGTACACTGGTGTCCAAGACGGCCCACAAGGTCGAGCGCGAGTACCGCATCATCGCCGCCCTGCAGACCACCGACGTGCCCGTGCCCAAGACCTACTGCCTGTGCGAGGACAGCTCCGTCATCGGCACCCCGTTCTACATCATGTCCTTCCTCGACGGCCGCATCTTCGAGGACCCCGTCATCCCCAGCGTGCTGCCCGACGAGCGCCGCGCCATCTGGGCCGACGCCATCCGCGTGCTGGCCAAGCTGCACCGCGTCGACCCCCAGAAAGTCGGCCTCGAGAACTTTGGCAAGACCTCGGGCTTCTACAACCGCCAGGTCGCCACCTGGCGCACCATCTGCGACGCCCAGGCGAGTGTCCAGGACGTCGAGACCCACGAACCCGTCGGCCCTCTGCCGCACTTTGGCGAGCTGATGGACTTTTTTGCCGACGAGTCCCAGCAGCCCGTCGACCGCGGCACACTGATCCACGGCGACTTCAAGATCGACAACCTCATCTTTCACAAGACGGAGCCGAGGGTGATTGGCATTCTGGAGTGAGTTTTGTTGTTTCTCTCCCCGTCTACGCCCTCCCTTCCACCCCGCCCCACACACCCATACGTCCATTAATACTAACCACCCTGCCTTGCTTTCCAGCTGGGAAATGTCCACCATTGGTCATCCCCTCTCCGACCTCTCCAACCTCCTGACCCCCTATTTCACCGCCAGCCTCGACCCGTCCAAGTCGGTCAACGTCCACCCGGGCTTTCTGCCCCGGGCCACTCGGGGCCTGCCCACGCCCGAGGAGATCACAACCCTCTACTTCTCCGTAGTCGACCCCCGTTCCCCGGCCGCCAAGTCCTCGCTCGAGCTATCGCTCCCCGGCGGCGGGCCCGACCGCAAGCGCGAGCTGCAATGGGCGCAGGCGTTCAACATCTTTCGCCTGGCTGCCATCTGCCAGGGCATCGCAGCGCGCCAGGCCGGCCGCCAGGCAAGCAGCGAGAAGGCCCGGCGATATGGCGATGCGCGGACGCCGCTGGCCGACTTTGCATGGGAGCTGGTCAAATCGACGCGCTCCTCCTCTTCCAGTGGCTCAAAATCAAGGCTGTGAGGTGGTGGATTTTGGATTTCGGATATATATCTATGTTTAGCAAGCATTTTGGCGGCGTCTATCGTACATACACTCTGACGTTTAAAGCAATGAGAGGAATGGAAAACGGAAAACGATACTTGCGTCATACCTCTCATTTTTTGGAGTTCCTAGTTTTGGTGATGTGAGATGTGTTTATGCAAGCCCATGATTTATGGAAGTGTAGCGATAGCCATGATGATGAATTTAATGCTAGGTATCTAGGTTCCTTGTTATCACTTGAAATCAAATATGTGAGCACGTGGTGAGATAAAAACAAAGCTTACTTGACAGAAAGGATTCCTTTTGACTTTCTTCTGGCCTCCACGTGGTCTTGAATCTTCAAAAACTTGGCGTTTGACTTGAAGGCGTTTTTTTTTATAAAAAAAAATCTCTATCTTAGCAGGAAAAGCTTGTCTTTAATGATTTGGGGGGGGGGGGGGGAAATCCCCATATAACAAGTTGAAATTTAGTTTTTTTTAAGCTTAAAAAGATTTATTTGTTCCAAATTTCACCAAAACTTAGAAATCACCATGCTCATTCCGCCCAACATTGCAATTGACGAAGAGACCTCAACAACGCTTGGGGACAAGAAAGAACCCCCACCAGGACAGAGAAAAGGCAAAAGAGAATGATCAGACCCGGGCTTGAACCGGAGACCTTCAGTGTGTTAGACTGACGTGATAACCAACTACACCATCCGACCAATCGAAATGTTTACTTCTTTGATGGAGAATCTAGCTCCGAAGATCAGCCTAATAACTTGAGCGCGCTTTGCTTCGCTTCGCTTTTCATATCTTCTCGCCAAGCATCTGTCGCTCCTCGGGTATCCATTTTGAACGACCACTTAAAGTACCGGAAGTGCCTGAGACACTTTATGACTCGATATACGGTGAAAGAAATTGGGGGGTAGATAGGGAGTTCACTATTCAAGGTCCTTATTTTCCTAGTACTAGAACCTTTAAAAGAAAAGTAGGAAATAGTTGTTTCAAATGGAAATAATCAGGTATCTCAATGGCCAACAAGGAAAAAGCCCACGCGGCAGCTTCGTCCTATCACGATCGATGTGCTGAAAAGCTTAGGCTGTACTAAATTGTAAATGAATAAAGCGGACTCTGATTTGACTGAGCTGCGAAAACTGCCAAAATGCCAAACTCACGCCGAAGTAACAGACAGGATCCAACCAGGGCTTACTTCCCAGTTCCAAACCAAGGCCCAGCAGCTCTTCCAAACCAACAAAGCCGGCCCAACTTTCCTATCAGCAGTTATGCTTCCTCCTGTTGTCCGAAGGATAGGGGACGTGGGTGTTATTTCTGCGCTGTTTGCTAATATCTACCAGCTTTGTTCCAGGCGGTTATGAAAAGTAAACGGGGGAAACACGAGGAGAGAGAGGAACACTGTGATAATAAAAACCAGGGAAATGACAAACGCACACATAGGCACCCAATTTAATAGCGCGTGGAGTAATCATCAGGGAGCTCTCTCTCTTCTCTCACCCTCCTGATATGTATTGCCAATCTGAAAAGGTCTCTCGTTCTCCCTTTGGATCCCAGTCCTGCTCGTCCCACCCTAGTCTCTCGTGCTCATGAAGGCCATTTCCCTTGTCGTAAACGGCGTAAAACCCACCGGCAGAAAAAAAAAGCGGCGTGTTGGTGAGACCCCCGTGCGAACTCATCAATACTCCTATTACGTGACCCTAATCCTCAGGAGGAAAGGAGAAGGGGGGAATAGGAAAAGGAAAAAGAAAGGCAATTACTCCGGAAATGTGAAAGCTACCCGACTCTCATTCCTGGCGTCGAAAACTCGACCCAAAGTCTTCCAGATCATTCCCTGTAGAGAGAACGTCGAAACAGAGTGGGGAGAAATCCCATATGCAATCGCAAAATCACCCTCAAACGCCGCGGCATGAAGAGCCGATGTCGTAACCCCCCGAAACAAAACCGAAAAAAAGAGGTGCCATGAATGGTGACGAAAATCTATAATGATGCTGAGAAGAGTTAAAGGGGCGTAGGGAAAATGTGTATGGTCGTATGTGTCGTTTCGTGTATGTATTCGTGTGTTCGCGTGTATACTGCCCGGACCAATAGGGTCAAAGCACCAAAAAAGGAGATGGCTCCGGGTTGCGAGACAGCCCCACCATAGGGGATGCAACGACAAAGGTTACAATCTGGCGGGATTGACGTATACACATCAGCTGCCAGTGAATGCTGCAGTTCTACTGCGTCCATGCCTCTCTCGTACTGCTTGAGGAGTCGTTAGTGATGGTTGAGGATCCCTGATAAACGGGCCCATCCAGAGGAAAGCCGTCCATGGCCAGAACTGGTGGTAGCTGCTGCGGGAAGGGCGGCATGTGTGGGAGCTGGCCGTGGTCACCAGATGAGCCTCCGACCCCCCCATTTAGCGGGCTAGGAAAAGGCTGCTGGCCTTCAGCAGGATTCATGAGAGGTGCGAAGCCGAGCATCAGTTGCCCGCTCATGGATGGGGGGCCCATTCCCATACCCTCGAAGGGAAGGAAAGGGGGACCGCCCGCGCTCACACGGTAGCTAGGGCCTGGGCGGTTGGTTGACTGCGTAAACTGTCTCGCGGATAGCTGTGTCAGTGATCGATGTGGATTGTACGAAAACGAAGACCAATGCGGCGGAGGGTTGGGGGCATTTACACGCTCACGAGGCGGGCTCTGCTGCGAAGGTGGTGCTGGAACCGTCCCAGCATGTGAGTTTGGACGGCTGGGAGCACCGGTTGTCGCCGAGCCAGAGCTGGACGGCGAACCCCGCAGGAAGCTGCCATGCCTAGGGCGAGTCCGCCTACGGGAGTCTGCCGCCTCCGAAGGGGGAGATCGCCGCTCTCCCGTCTGGAAGTTTCTGGGCGGGCTGCTATCGACTCCCTCGTCACGCTGCGCCGCCATGATACGAACAAGAGTTTCCCCGGTTCTGTGACTTGTTAATTGCTCGAACGATCAAGTAAAACAGAAGGCGTTTGGACTAACGGAAGGGTTCTAGCGTCTGCTGGAGGTCTGCTGGAGCCTCCGGCGGCGGTATATCTCGGACCTTGCAGATACTGCGAGCTGCGGATGAAGTCACGAATCGCTTGGTGGCTAGTCTGGCTGTGGAATATGGGCTCCGATGGAACTTTATCGCGGCAGTAAGGGCAACTGTCTGACTCCTCAAACCATTTCTTGATGCAGTGATCGCCGAAGATATGCTTGCATTTAGGGAGCCGGAGTGGTGCCTCGTTGATTCCCTCTGGATTCGGCACGCCAAATTCGTTATAGCAGATAACGCAAGCTAATCGGACAGGTCAGAATGTTGTGTGATTGGATGTATGTTTCGGGAAGCTTCAACTTACTCTTCTCGCTCTCCTCAAGTGTGCTCATGTCCACGCTTTGTAGCTGACCGAGAGCCTTCTTAGAGGCTATGCGCTTGCCGCTCGACAGCTGACCGCGGATGAGCTGGGCCTGGCGGACATGATCGTTGTGGTGGTAGGGATTTTGCACAGAAAACTGTTCAATAAATCGAAAAGTTTGCTCGTCATCGTCAAGCTCGGGGTCTTCGTCGTCGCTGTTAAAATCGATGTGCTGGGCAGAGGCCCGTAGGATTCTGGCGGCGCGAGCGTTGAAGCGACGTCGGTCAGCCGGAGGGGGCGCCCCCAGCCCGAGACTCGCCTCGGCGTTCGACATGGGGGCTGGAGGCGGGGCAGACGAGGAGGCGCCAGGTTCTGGTCGAGTCGATTCCATGTTAAACAGCGAAGGGCGAATCGGTATTTGCGGGACTGCTCCTGCTGCCGAAGTCGTCGTCGTCGATGTCGATGTCGATGACGACACCGACGCCGACGCTGAGGTTGAGGACGAGGTGTTTCCGCTGCGGTTCAGACCTCGCGAGACATCCTCTGAGCTGGAGGAGGCGAATGGACGAGACAGAACGACAGGAGGAGCGGCGGGAGCGACCGGGCTGGACTCCCCAGAGCTCGACATATTGCTGGGCGCTTGGCTCTGGGGCGGGGCTGACGGCGGATTCAAGGCTGGCACGCTGATAGTGCCGCGCGAGGCGGATTGCGGATGGAGAGACAGCTGCGGCGGCGGGTGATGAGGGTGAGGCTGCTGCTGGTGATTTTGGGTTTGGTGACTTGTGAGGTTTTGGTGGTGGGTTTGGGTTTGGGTTTGGGTTTGAGTTTGGTGGTGGTTGTGGTGGTGGCCGGGCGATTGCTGTTGAGGGGTCATGGACGGGATGGAGACTGGAGGGGGGAAGCGATGCAGGCTGGCGGGATGACGGAAGGCAAAGGAAAAGGGCGGCACGAATGGGTCGTGAGCGAGCTGATAGTGGCTGTGGCTTTGCACCAAACCAGGCTGCATCGGCCCAGGTGCGGCTCCAGCAACAGCACCACTTGTGCCTGCCGCACCACCACCTGCATTGCTGCTATTGTTCACTGGGTTTGCGGTAGAGCCAGAGCCTGGAGCATTGTTCACTGAGCCTGGTGCCCCTCCCCCTCCTGGTCCCCCAACCCCAATTCCGCCAAAGTATGCAGCCTCGGACGACCTCGGGTGGGGCACCTGAGGCTGTGAGGGCAAAGACATGGGAACCGGCCACTGGAAAGGCGCATTTCCCGTGGAGTACCACGAATTATTGACCGAGTGAACAGGGTCGTAGTGGTGCGGGTGCGGGTGCGGGTTCGAGTGAGATGGGCCACGGTTGGGCGACGACATGAGCCCCGGTGGCGGCGGCGGCTGCTGCTGCTGCTGCTGTGGTTGTTGTTGTTGCTGCTGCTGGTGATGATGGCTAGGATGGCCAGAATGAGGGTGAGGATGTTGGTGCTGGAATTGGTGCTGGAATTGCTGGTGATGATGATGTTGTTGCTGGTAGAGGTGCGGGTTTGGCAGGCTTGATGGGTATGCTTGTCGGTCTAGGTCTGCGCGGAAGTACGGACAGCCGCCGCGCGACGGCTGTTGCTGGTGGTGTTGTTGCTGGTGGTGTTGGTGCTGCGTCTGTGAAGCCGACGAGTCGGCATTGTGCATCTCGTAATCCATTTCGTCCATGGTCTCCGAGCAGCGAGCACTGCTTGATCAGGCAAAGAGTCGACAATCTCAGGCGACTCTGGCTGGATTGCTCTTACAGCCAGCGGGTGCCTGCAGCCAGCAGCACTCTGGCATATATCCTCCGCTGTTTTATCCGCTTCTCGATCCCCTTTGTTGCTCCACCAGGCCTCTTCGTCTACCCTTCTGTCCTCCGTTCGTGGTCGTGCAGGTTGAGGGTCGTAGCAGGCAAAGCACACGAAGCACTGGGCTTCTATGGTTTGCTTGTAAAACCCGGCCTCGGTGCGTCGCAGGCAGGCAGGCAGGCAGGCAGGCAGGCCACAAGTTTGCAAAAACAACCGACGAGGTGACTGGCAACAGACAGCACAGCACAGCACAGCACAGCACAGCACAGCACAATGGTTTTATTGTAGTTGCTGAGGGCGCGTCGGTGGCCTTGGAGGGGTAAATGTTGGGAGTGGCAGCTAGCGGAGACGCCTCTCTCCTCGGCTTGATGGAGGGGTTGACTGTTCAGCCGAACGGCCAGAACCCTGATGAATGGCGCAGGAGCTGGCTTGCTGAGTGACAAGGGGGTCCAGGAGAGTGAACGAGTGTGAGTTATAAGTGGTGGAGTGGGGTGCTTGGCTGCTTGTTTGGTGCTTGCTTGGTGCTGCGAGACTGTCCAGGCGTATTATCGGCGG